AAACAATGGTAAAAACATACTTATATTTAAACTAAAGAACGATACTTAGAGGTTAGAAACGAAAATAATCATGATTAAATACCTCAATAACTTTCTCTTTCTTCTTCTGCTCCGCCTTTTTACTGGGAGCAGGTGCCTTTTTAGGTGGCATTTCATTCAAATTTTAATATTTACAAGCGTCAGATACAGAAAACCTAACAATGAGCTTTACATACGACAGAAATTTAATTCTGGATCATGGGCACGGGGCAAGGCAAATGCAACACATGGACATGGACGTATTCACCAAAATATATAATTCAATGAATTGGATCATGAAATACATAGAATAATAGTATACGATATGCACAATCTGTGTGAATGGTGAATAAAAAGCACAAATATATATAATTATAATAAACTATAAATACATTAAAATATGACTTAAATAAATATTTTTAAGGAAGTAATTCATCCCTTTTGCTAGTCTCGTTCTCATATTAAAATTTCAATTTTATTTATAAAAATTTAAATGACCTCTTTTAATATGAATAAAAATGATTTAAGAAACAAACTCTCAAATAACTTACAGATACGTTGAAAAAGAATTCAACTACATTTTTAATCAAAAGTGTTAAAAAATCATAGTTACATTAAAGTACATTAATTTCAATTTCACGTAATTTGTATGAGACCAGCTCTTCACATGTACAGTATAGGTATATCATTTGAAAATAGAATATAAGATGTAAATAATAATATACAAGATATTACATAGGGAACTAGTGAATGTACGTATATATAGTATGCTAACAATGCATGTATATTAAAGATACAGATAAATGAAGACACTGAGTAAAGGAAGAATTTGAACAAAATATTTGAATCACTCTTCTAAATCCAAATCATCTAATTCCTCTTCTAAGCCTTCTAAATCCTCTTCTTTAAATAGGTTCTCATTAATTGCTAGTGCAGTAGCTCCTTCACCAACGGTAACTGTTATAAGAAATGATTTATTAATATTGACATATTCGAGACAAATCATCTTAAAACAGTAGATCTTATCTATACCTGTCAAATTTTCATTATTCGTTTCAATATTATTTTTCAATCGGTCTACTTGAGCAACAGTTATTCCAGAAGTATCAATTTCACTAGCTTCGAATGCAAGCCTATCCATATCAAGTTCTCTGTATTCGACTTTTTCTTCAGTCTCATCATCTTCACGAACGTAACTAGATATTGCTTCGTCTCCATCGTCAATGCCTAAATACGTAATAAAGTTAATTCTATACCTGTGTTTGTCGTGTAATATATCTAATATTATAAAACACAATCGAGAAAGTACCATCTCCAGCTGCAAGTTCAGGATTGAAATAGAACATTTCTCTGCCGGATATACCGACTTGACGACCAGCTTTATAATCATTTCGTCTTCTTTCCTCATCTTTCAATGCCTGTTCTTTCTTTTCTTTTAGTTTTCTCTTTTTCCAAGCCAAGAAGGTCTCTAATGTTATTTTAGTCTAAAAATAATTTAACAAATTACTATATATAGCAGACACAAATATACTTAAAAAATTATACGAAATAAGTAATAAGATATGCAACCTTATGAAATAAAAGTTATTATAAGAAATGTAAATATAGATTGTAAGAAGTAAAACATCACAGAATTTAGAATATGACAAATGACCACTTTGAAATAAATAATTAAAGAATAAAATGATAGAAAAATATTAGGTCATAAAGAAATGCGTGTATTTTTACCTGACTTGGACCTAAATTAGCTCGTTCTTTCTCAATTAAATCTTCTAATGAAATTTCATCTTTTTTATCTTCTTTCTTCTTATCCTTTTTAAGAACAAAACCAGGAGGTAGTGCATGTCTGTAAATACATTTTTGTCCTGATGGACATTCCCAAAACCAGCCATACTTTGCTTTTTCAACCGCTTCAAGAAAGTGCTTACAAATCTGAAATTGAAATGGAATTAATTGTTTTCCATCTTTGAACTTAAGACAATAATAAATTAAACAATTGATACCAAAATTTTGTAAAGATACACTTACAATATCTGTAGTTGGACGAGTGCCACTTCCATGTTTTTTCTCTACAACTTCCTTTAATTTATCCTCATCCCATTTATCCATTGTATCAGTTTCCTTGTCATCATCATCTCTCATATCACAATACAATGACCGTTTCTCCGCTTTCCTTTCTATACTTAAATCGTGTGAAAATTTGCATTTCTCGCCTTTTGTACATTGTCCCTGTTTAAAAAACGCGCATACTACTGATTTGGGATCAGTTCCTATAAAAGACAAATAATAACTACTTAGAATCCTATATCCTCGTACAAATCGTACTGCCTTTAAAACAAAAGTTTACGTATATATTTTTTAGTAAGTGCTTCTTTATTCAATTTCGAACGTTTTCGTCTGAATGGTTTGAATAAGAAAAGACGATCAGATTTCATTTCCAAAGCTATTATATGTTTTGAATTTGTGCCGCCATATTTATGTTGTCATATCGTTTAACATTCGTATTAACCTGCAAATAAGTAAAATACATTTTCTATGTCAATATCATATAAATTAACTCTTTGGCCGGTATTAGAATTGTTGCTTATTCTTAAGATCGTCTTACTATCCCTGTCTATCTCATATTTCCAGTCTCTATCTTGTATAGGAAACAGGGACTTAAAATTCTTAAGGCGATCTTAAAAATAAGTAACAACTCTGAATACCGACCTTTGAGTACTATTTAAATCTCTGTTTATACTCGTGTTGCATGGAAAGGTTAGGATAAGTATTTCTAACACAGAAATAATTTGCGATTTATCTATTTATAATTGTATACATTAACTTTTATAGGAATACCGAGGAGCCACAAAAACAATCAAAATCTAGAAAGTCTGGCAAGAAAATTATGGGTAAACAAGATAAAAAAAGCAGTCAATGCTTAGTTCCAGACACAGAACGTAAGGCATCTGGTTGTAATTGGGAAATGTTTAGGAATTTACTTGACTCGACACCATTAAATTTAGATATTTGTGGTAGTATTAACAAAAATGGAAATCAAAAGTTAGAAAGAAAACATCTTTCTACATCAAATATGGATAACGTAGCACCAGTTATAGAAGAGAAAGTAGTTAATAGTAAGCAATGGACTGTGAAATGGTTGGTATAGGAGATGGAAGTGAAAATATGATAGCCAGGGTATCTATTGTAAACAAATATGGTGGTTGTGTTTATGATAAATATGTGAAGCCAAGAGAACCTGTTAAAGATTATAGGACTAAAGTTAGTGGTATAAGACCACATAATTTACAGAATGGAGAAAAATTTGAGGTTGTTCAAAGAGAAGTAGCAGAAATCTTAAGGGACCGTATTTTAATTGGACATGCATTAAAACATGATCTTGACGTATTGTATCTCTCTCACCCAAGACGAAATTTACGTGACACATCTAGATTTAAGAGATTTACACAATTATCAAAAGGAAATACGCCTAGTTTGAAGAAACTTAGCCAGGAATTACTAGGTAAAGTGATACAAACAGGAGAACACAGCTCTGTTGAAGATGCAAGAGCTGCAATGGAATTGTACATGCTCTTTAGAAATATATGGGAATCAGAATTCCATTCTAAACGATAATTTAGATTACGTGTAATGAATAATTCGTTTTATTTGAACTCTGCGAAAT